GTCTTCCCCTCCTGCGCTGTCCCTCTACTCTACCCAGCATGATGTCCCTCTCTAAGGACCTGTCTCTCCTTACAACATGTCCAAAGTATGTCAGTTGAAGTCCCAGAATCCTTGCCTCCAAGCGCCATTACCTCTTCTAAACCCAGCTTGTATTTCTGGTAGCTTTCTGTCAATGTACCGTCCAAGTCTTTTCTGGATAATCTTCAGCAGGATTATGCTAGTTTGTGATATTAGAGATATTATTTGATAATTTCCACACTCTGTCAGGTAAACTTTTTTGGGGTTGGGAATAAATATGGATCTTTTCCAGTCAGTTGGCTAAGTTGTTGTGCTCCAGATTTCTTGGAACAACTTGGTGAGCACATGCAGGGCAGCATCCATTTGCTGAAATATGTTAATTGATATTTCATCAATTCCTGGGGCTTTATTTTTTGCCAAGTCCTTCAGAGCAGCCTGCATTCCTCCTTCATCACCATTGCCTCTTGGTCATATGTTGTTTCTTGAAATACTTTTGTATCAGCCAATTCTTTTTGGTACAATGACTCTGTATACTCCTTCCATCTTTTTTTAATGCTTCTGGAATCATTCAATATTCTGCCTAAACATCCTTAAACATTGCAACTCATGGGTTGAATTTATTCTTTAGTTTTTTCAGCTTAAGAAATGCTGAGTGAGTTCAGCCCTTTTGACTTTCTGACTCCAGCTCTTTGCACATTTCATTTTAATCTTTTGCCCTGTTTTCCTGAGCAGCCCTTTGAAATCTTCTATTCAGCTCCTTAACTTCTTGATTTCTTTCTTTCGTTTTTGCTTCTTGGCACTCTAGAGAAATACTCAGAGACTCTTCTGACATCCATTTTGTGCTTTTCTTCTGCTTCCTTCTTTGTAATGACTTTTTGCATTCTTCATGAACAATATTCTTGATATCTTTCCACAGTATATCTGGTCTTCGTTCACTAGTGTTCAAGGCCTCAGACCTATTTCTGAGTTGGTTTTTAAATCCAAGAGAGGTAGTCTCAAGGCCAAATTTTGATTCCTGTGAACAATTTAACCTTCCTTCTTTAGTTTTAATTTGAACTTCCATATGAGCAGTTGATGGTTCCACAATCAGCACCTGGCCTAGTTTTACAGCTGATATTATTAAACTTTTCCAATGGTTCCCTCCATAGATATAATCAAGGTCAGTTATACATAATTTTTAAAATGTGAATCTCACTCCCACCTAACTTCATGAGAAGACATATGTACACCACAAACACATATAGATTAATGGAATAGAATTAAGAAGAAAGAAATTAACCCATAAATCTAAGGCCAACTAATATTTGACTTTATTAAATTGGGAAATGACAGTCTTTAACAAATAGCACTGGTAAAACAGGCCATCTACCTGCAGAAAACTAGGATACGATCCATATCCACACCCCACACAAAAAGCAGCTCAAAGTGGAACAGAGACCTAGGGATAAAACCCCAAGCAACAAAAATCATGAGACAAAATGAGAACACATTTAGAAGCCCTGGCCTACTGCATAAATCGGCTTACAAATAGCCAAAAATGCACAACCTAGAGCAGATAAAGTCACCACATAGGACCTTCCTAAAGTCAAATCCTTGTGTGCATCAAAATCTTTCTTCAGTAGGGTGAAAAGAAAATCAATATATTTTGGAAAAAAACTCCCATATTTCGCAATTACATTTCTGACAAGGGGCTTCTACAATTTACAGAACACTACAGTGCCTCCATGAGAAAAAGACTGATAACCGAGTTCCTAAATGGGTAAAAACCATGAAAAGACTCTTTGCCAAGAAAGATATTCAGATGGCCAATAAACACGAGGAAATGTTTAACATCACTAGCAAATTGAGTACAACTAATAGTGACCCTATGAACAAAAGATCTGATCCCTTTTCTATAACTGTCATAGTTTTTCTAATATTCATAGTTTCTAGCAATTAGAGAGATGCAAAGAAAAACAATAATGAGACACCTCACCCCAGCAACAACAGCAAAGTTTAAGAGAATAGCAAACAATAAATATTAGCAAAAATGCAGAGACTGGAATTTTCATGCACTGCTGGTGTAATTCTAAAATGGCACAACTGCTATAGAAAGCAGAGTGGCATTTTCTCAAAAAAGTGAATTTTGGGGCACTGCGTGGTTTTGGTTTTGCTGGGTTTGCACTGCCCACGCCCAGCGTCCCCGGGTGACCCCTCTGAAGCCGGGCAGGTCAGGGGCTTGGAGGGCGGCTCTCCTGAGCTAAAGAGGCTGGCTTCGGCCCCTGAACTGCTGGCTCAGTTTGACCTATTTCTGAGCTGTGTTGTTGAATATCCCATGAACTACTAAAAAACAGGTGTGACCAGTCCCTGGAGAAGGATGTTTTGCTTGGTTAAGTAGGAGGACAGTGAAAAAGAAACTCAACAAAGATTGATTGACACAGTTCCTGCAACAGTGGTGGGCTCCAGCAAGGTGGGACTGAGTCTGAGGATGGCACAGGATCAGTCTTCTAGGTCGTATAGCCCTGGCATGTCCAGTTGCTGTACAGCAGTAACTCATGGTCTCTGTGAAGCTGAACACTGTGACACTGATGTGTCAAGCACGATAACGGTTACCCATGGTGGACAGTGTTTGGTGGTTCTCCCCGGTTGACACCAGCTTGGAAGCAGAAGTGACATCCACTTCCATAATAACTTGCCTCCTGAAACCCTATGAACCTGGAGAAAGGATGAAAGTCACGCATGCAAGTGTCGAGGACTTTCTTTCATAGGGTCGCTATGAGTCACCTACGACTCAACAGCACTTAACAACAATAGCAACAACTTTTATTCATTATTCCATATTTTTTCTTCCCCTCCCCCAGTCCACCCTGCCATGCACCCCTTGTTCCGGATGGTTGTCATACATATAATGCCTAACCAAATATTCTTTTTGGACAGTTCTTCCCTTCCTCTGTTCTAATGAAATGTTCATTATCTGTCCACTCTTTTACCATTCTCTCCCCAACCACCCCATGTCTGTCCTATTTTATAACACCGATTTTATGCAGTATTTGTCCTTTTGTAGCTGAGATATTTCACTCAGCATTATGTCCTTCAGGCTCCCCCAGTTATGTAATGTTTTATGAGTTCATTGTTTTTCAGTGCTGCATAGTATTCCATTGTGTATATGTAGTTTTTCTATTTGTTTGTTGATGGACACTTGGCTTGCTTCCATCTCTTTGGTATTGTGAATAACACAGCAATAAACATGGATGTGTATACATCCAGGAAAAAAGTGGATTTGGAAATAACTATATGACTCTGCTATACCCTAAGGAAATCAGAGCTGAAGCACAAATGGAGATATGCATTCTTATGTTCATTGCAGTGTTATTCTCAGTTGCAGTAGTGTGGAAACAACCAAATGCCTGTCAACAAATGAAAATATAGAGATTGTGGTACATTCACACAATGGAATACTATGCAGCACTAAAGAACAGCAGAGTATTTATAAAATACTATACAACATTGGGAGTTCTGGTGGCCTAGTGGTAAGAAGCTGTGCTTCAATCCTGAATGCAGGTGGTTGAAATCCACCAGCTGCTCTGCAGGAGAAGGCTGGGCAGTCTCCTCCCATGTGATTAACTACCCATCAAAACCTGCTGGAGAGTCAACCAAGGGTTGGTTCCAACTTGATGGCACACAACAACCACAACATTGGGAGTCTAGAGGATTGTATGCTGAGTGAAATTAGTCACAAAAGGAAGAATATTGTGTAAGACTGTTGTGTGCCATCCTCACTATCTCTGATATACTCCAAATCCTTGTTACAGTCAGTCATTAAGGATCTTCCTTTCTTTTTCTGACCTTTCACCTTCCCCAGTATGATATCTTTTTCTAGGACTGGCCTCTCCTGACAACATTCCTTATGTGAGATGAAGTTTCACTAGCCTTGCCTCTAAGCAGCACTCCAGTGCACTAACTCTAACCCACCTCTTTGTTCTTTTTGTAGCCCATGAGATATTCAGTAATCTTCTCCAATATCATACATAATTCAAAGGCATCAATTATTCTGTCATCTTTACTCATTGTTCAACTTTCACATGCATAGAAAGTAGGTGAAAATTGACAATTATATTTCAATTCAACAACCTTTGAATGCTCTGCCTCAGAGGCTTACTTATCTCAGATTGCCAGCAGATGGAGCCTGGGTACCGGATCTAGACAGTTTAGACTGAAGATAAAAGTGAAAGTCTGAGATAACGAAAAGTTTGGGTGACACTGGCTAGGACAAATTTGGCAAAAACATGCAAGAGTGGAGAATCCACAATGGCTCTGGAAAACCTGTCAGAATAGAGTTAACAGAAGCTCCGCTAAAAACAGAGAGGCCTAGAAGAGAGAGGAGTTGGACCCAGGGACATTCAGATGGGTAATGAGGGCTGCTGTGGGAAGATCAGCCTGAGAGGAACGTTGCATGAGCTCAGTGCTGAGCCCAGGGAAGACAACCTGGGTAAGGCAGAGAGATATTATGGAAACAATCAGCCTCCTAAGCTATAGGCTGTTCTGACTGTGAGAGAAGCCAGCCAGACAAGTTCCAGAGGCCTGGGAACGGGAAGGTGAGTACCCATGTTTCTTGTGTCCCTTGAGTTACCCCCTCCCACTGCCCTGCTTTGTTCATTGCCAGATTGTTGAGGATTGGTAAAAGCAGTTTGCTTAGAGGGAAGTTTATAAATACGAAAGGGGTTCATTTTTGGAAAGAGATGGTTGCCCTGTATAAAGGAATTCAAACCCAACACTAGCAGAGGAAAGAGCAAATCGAGCTGTGGTTGAGAAGCTGAGGAGGAGTTATACTGCACGGGTGTGAGGCTGCAGAAGCAAAACTCAGAGAACTGGCAGCAGAGGGCCACTGGATCAAGGTTGCTGCATATTGAAAATGATTCAATGAATAAGTCAATGTTGAGACAGTTTTGCTCCAGAGATCCATTTATTATGGTCCTTTTATTCCCACTCCATGGAATTCTTGCTTAAATCCTCCCCAAAAATTGTTGGCCACAGAAGTTTGATGGCCTGCTTTTAGAGAGCTTCATTGTTTTTTTGATCCAGTGCAGGAAGGGTGAGACCTTCGTGAAGATTCCTGGAGGTGTCCCTTTTTCACTTGCACAGCAGAAAATACCCTGGACAGTGTTCTTACATACAAGAGGAGCCCCTGAGTCACCCTGTAGAAATATAAGGGACAGGCTGAGATGACCTTTGTCCTGGTCCAACCCTCCTTGCTATCCTGGCTCCATACTTTCTGAAAAGGCAAAGGAGAGACTGTTTGAAATTTGAGGCTCCCTCAGCCCTGGGTCCCTGTCCTGGCCATGACTGTTCTCCTTAGCTTGACCCACGCCAAGGCCCTCTCAGGGATACTTTCTTGGTCGAGTTGTCGTGGATAACTGGTATCTCTATCCTATATTGTCATCCCCATCCCTAGCCACCTCCACCTTCCCAGGGGAAGAAAACTTAAGCTTTGTCAGATTCCTAGCCTGTTCACATATTCAGGTTGAGGACAGGAGGACATGGCCACTCCCATGCTCCAGATCACCCCCATCTTGGAGCCTAAGTAGATGCTGGAAACTTACCTTAAACCCAGTCTTATTCTTGTTCTGGTCCCCCACACATATCTCAGTGGCTTTCCTGTAGTACTTGGGGAAGAGACCCTCACACTTCTGGTCCTCCTGCACAGTCAGCTCTACTTCTTGCAAAGTTGTTGATAAGGAGTCCTTGTCCACTGAGACCTGGCCCCATCCAGCTACACTGCACATCTGCCCTGGCTTCACTCGGGCCTTTCTCCCAGGCAGGGGGAGCGAGCGCACAGCTGCTGTCCGTTTGGCCTTTATCTTCAGCTGATGGGGAAGACAACAAAGTCCTGATCAGTCAGAGCCTGCTGGGACCGTAGACTCTGGTGGGCTGCTTTTCTATCTCTCCTTCTCCAAGGAAAGAAGACTAGTCAAGTATCCAGGGGCTGAAAGGCAGGAGTCTCAGTGGGAGGAGAAACACCCTGGGCCCAAGACAGCAGAAGCAGGAGGGAGTGTGGCCTACCTGGAGTAGCATGATATCACCGGAAAAAACCTTCCTATTATAATCTGGGTAGCAGAAGGCTTTTTTCACAGGGATGTGCTGCTGAGTCTTTTCTTGCTTCTTGATGTTGTGGGCCCCCAGGGTGATGTTAATGAATCTGGACAGAGAGCAGAGTAGAGGTTCTTATAAAAGCTGCGGCCTGAGAGCCGTGAGCAGGTGACAGCTGGGTCAAAGTGGGGCAGCTGCTGACAGGGAATGGAGTTAGGAGGCCCTTGGCTTAGAATTTGCTGTACCTTCAATTTCTCAGCAGCACTGTAGGTAGGTGTTTATGGCATTCTCTTTGCCCTCAGGTCATAGAAAATGGACTGGGCCATACCTGCTTTTATCCTCCACTGTCTTCCTTAAATAGCCAGTGAGGTCCCTCTCTGACTTATCCCACTTGCCCCAACATCTGACCTCATAGGTTCCATGTAGACCTTTTCATCACTTCATCCTGCTTTGAATGGTCCCTTGATGAAACCACTTGGGCCTGTGTCACACACAGCTGCAGAAACTTCGCTCAGTGGCAGGTATAGGGAGAGGTGTCCTTGCAAGTTCTATCCCTCACCTTCCCCAGCAGTGAGCTGCTGTCAGGACAAAATCCTCTCGCACAAGAACACCACTGCACCTACTCTTCTTGCCATCATGAAGAACCTGAACAAACACCATGTAGGGGAGTGAGTGGGCTTTGGCTTCATGACCCCCAATGATCTCCTCTGAAAGAAAAAAATGGAAAATAGTGTGAGTAGGATGTCCCACTTGACAACTGAGGCTAGGGTTAACATTGCCTTGTGGACGGTGGGACAAGTTGTCCTGGACACTCTTGGCAGTACTCCTTACTGGCACAGTGACTGGTCCTTACCCTTAAGTCTCAAATGGTGCCCCTTACAAAGAAGACAGTGCTTGTTCTGCACATCCCATATTACACACATGGTTGGAGGGGACAGGGCTTGTCTCCAAGATGACAGAACCCCATAGAATTCCAGACAAAAATCCTCTGATGATTTTCTTAGTTTCCTGGCCTCTACTAATATTCAAGCTGTTGCCATTTTCTAACAATCTGCCCATGAGTTTATAGAGCTAGAGTAAAAAAAATTATTATTATTGTATACCTATGAAGGAGCTTTTCTTTTGCTTTTCAAGGAGAAGAGCGAACTGGGGTTGGGGGTGGAGTGGGCGGGGAGAAAAATGCAACAATGAATGAATGGAAATCCAAAATCTCTGTAGATGTTCATTGAAATTAATAAAAAAATAAAATTATTATTATATTATCAGATCCTCAGTAAATCTTTTTAAGGTTGTATGAATGAATTTCTATAGAGGTTATTGTTGTTTAGATGCCATTGAATTGAATATAACTCATAGCAACCCTATGAACAGCTTACCTGAATCCTGCTCTATCCTGTGCCATTCTCATTTCAACCCACGAGAACCCGTTGCTGAAGTCACTACATCAATCCATCTCATTGCGGATCTTCCTTCCTTTGCTGACCCTCTGTATTTTCAAGCATGATGTCCCTTTCTAAGGAATAGCCTCGTCTAGCTTCATGACCAAAGTATGTGAGACGAAGTTTTGTCATCTTTACGTTGCACTTTTCCCAAGACATACCTGTTTGTTCTTTTGGCAGTCCATGGGACATTCAGCACTCTTCTCCAGCACCACAATTCAAAGGCATCAATTCTTCTTTTGTCATCCTTATTTGTTATTATCAGCTTCCTGATGCATAGCAGGTGATTGAAAAGATCATGGCCTTTATTATCAAACTTATGTCATCGGTTCTCAGTGTTCTGAAGGTCCCTGACAGTGGATTTGCCCAATGCAACACTTCTTCTGATTTTCTGACTGCTAGTACTTAGGATTTAATTTTTAATACAAGCAAGATAAAATAATTTTAAGTTTTGTTCCAAGCAAGTTGAAATCATTGATGGCTTCAATCTTTTCTCCATCGATCATAATGTTGACTAGTGGTTCTGTAGTGAGGACCTTTGTTTTCCTGATGTTAAGATGCAATCATAGCAAAGGCTGTGGATCTTGATCTTCTGCAGCAAGTATTCCACATCCTCGTCACTTTCAGCAAAGTTGTGTCATCTGCATAATTGGTTGCAGATGAGTCTTCGTCCAATCCTGATGCCACATTCTTCTTCATAGAGCCCAGCTTCATTCATTATTTGCTTAGCATACAGATTGGATAGGTATGCGGAGTTGATACAACCCTTACCCATTTTTCTCAATGTTAGTCATAATTTGTTATGATCCACTCAAATGCTTTTGCATAGTTAATAAAACACAAGTAGACATCCTCCAGGTATTCTTTGCTTTTAGCCAGGATCCATCTGACATCAGCGATGATATCCCTAGGGCCACAGCCTTTTCTAAAACCAGCTTGCACTTCTGGTAGTTCCCTGTCAATGTACTGTTCTAGGCATTTTTAAATGACGTTGAACAATATTTTGCTTGTATAAGATATTAATGATATTGCTTGATTATTTCCACATTTTGTTATATCATCTTTTTGGGGATTTGGGGCAAATATTGATCTCTTCCAGTCAATCAGCCAGGGAGTTGTCCTCCAAGTTTTTTGGCATAAATTGATGAGCACATTCAGGGCTCTCTACGTTAGTTTAAAACATGTCAATTTGTATTCCATTTTTCCTGGGGCCTCTTTTTTTTTTTTTTAAAGCCAATGGCTTCATTGAAGCTTGAACTTCATCTTTCATCACCATTGGCTCTTGTTAATATGGTACTTCCTGAACTTTTAAATTGTCAAATAATTCTTTTTGGCACAGTGATTTTGTATATTCCTTTCATCCTATTTTGATGCTTCCTGGATCATTCAAGATTGTGCCCAAAGTACCTGTCAGTATTTTAACTTGAGGCTTGAATTTGTTTTTCAGTTCTTTTAGCTTGAGAAATGAAAGCAAGTTCTTCCCTTTTTATTCTCTGACTCAGGCTGTCTGCCCTGCACATTTCATTATAATACTTTGCTTTATATTCTCAAGTTGCCCTTTGAAATAGTCTGTTCAGCTCCCTTTCCTCAGCATCTCTTCCTTTTATTTTGGCTTCCTGATACTCTAATGCAACTTTCATTGTCTCCTCTGACATCCACTTTGGTTTTTTCTTCCTCCCATTTCTTTGTAATGATATTTTGCTCTCTTCATGAATGATATCTTTGATATCCAGCCACAGTTCCTCTGGTTTTCTATCACTGATATTCAATACTTCAAACCTGTTCTAGATGATTCTTAAATTCAACTGAAAAAGACTCAGGTTACTATTTTGGTTACTGTGGGCTAGTTTTGATTTTCTTACGCTTCAGTTTGAATTTGCACACGATGGTCTTTTTTGCAATTGGCATCTGGTCTTGTTTTGACTACAGATATTGTGATATTGTGCTTTTCCAATCATTCTTTCTGCAAATGTAGCAAATATGATTTCTGTAAAATCCATCAAAAGTGAGGTCCATGTGTAAAGCTGCTGCTTGTATTTTTTTAAAAAAAGACATTTGCTATGAATAAATCATTGAATGCACAAAATTTGATCATTTGCTCTCTGACCTCATTTCTGTCACCAAGTTCATAGTTTCCGTGTATGAATCCTTCCTGATTATTTCCAACTTTTGCATTCCAATCATCAATTATTATTAATGTATCTTGATTAAGATTTTTTTTGTAAGTTTGGTCGATTTCAGACTGCAAAACCCTTAATCTCCTCCTCTTTGACTTTAGTTGTTGGTGCATCTATTTGAATAACAGTAATATTAATAGGTCTTTGTAGTATGTGTATAGATAATATCTTATCACTCATAGCATTATATTTCAGCATGGATTTTTTTTTTAAAATTCAGGAAAGACCTTGAAATTGTCCTTTTAACTATGAATTCAACAACATTGCTTCTTGGTTTTTCATTCTCAGCATAGTAGGTCATGTAATTGTCACATTTAAAGTGGCCCATGCTTGTCCATCTCAGTTCATTGATACTTAGATTATCAATTTTCATGTGTTCCATTCATTTTTTGCAACTTCCATTATTTCCTATATTCATGCTTTGTACATTTCATGTTCCAATTATTAATGACTGTTTCTACACATTTTTTAGTGACTTCTTATCTGAGTTCTATGTCAAATACTACAACTACTTGTGTTCATCTGTTCATAGGGTTTTAGGAAGTGGATGGCCAATCCTTCCTCCTTGTCTGTCTTAATCTAGGAACTCTATTGCAACCACTGAATCAGGGGTGACCTTCTGGTGAGTCATTGGTGGTATAGATTTCAGCATTAGGGCACTCCACAAGTCACACCAGTGCAGCAGATTGACGGACAAATAGAGTAATAGACAGACTGTTGTTGTTGTTGTCATGTGCC